CTTCATAGAGTCTGTTTTACATTGGTTAACTATTCCTGGGCCTGCGGGAGTGTGATTGTTATAACCAGTGACACTCACTTGGTTGGAGAAAACTGATTTTCCCTTTTCTAGCAGGTATCAAATACAAATTCTTGGTTAGGGGTGGAACTTGGTGTCCATGTCTCCCTTTCAATGCTGGATTTAGTCTGGTTTGAACCTCTGTAGGTCTGTATTTGCTGTCACGGAATCTGTTTATATATATGCCAATCTTGTGTCTGGACGACATTGTTTACATTCAGGACAGATAAGACATTTACTATCGTTATTTTAGTCATGGGGTAGAGAGAGAGACAGAGAGACAGGGAGAAAGACAGAGATAGACAGGGAAAAAGACACACACAGAGATAGAGACAGAGACAGAGACAGAGAGAGTCAGAGAGACAGGGAGAAAGACAGAGATAGGCAGGGAAAACACACACACACACAGATAGAGACAGAGACAGAGACAGACAGAGAGAGTCAGAGAGACAGGGAGAAAGACAGAGATAGGGAAAAGACACACACACAGAGACAGAGACAGAGATAGAGACAGAGAGATAGACAGACTCAGAGAGACAGGTTAAACCTGAAAATTCAGTTCTTCATCATTTTTCATTTCATGGCTGAGTGAAACTTGCCTGCCATGGGACCAGTACCGACTGAGCCGTCCACACTCAGTTATGCATATGCAAATAGGACACTAAAGGAGTTGAGATTCATTCTGTCATTTAGTTATTTGATCCTTTGTTAATTCTCACTCTCCTTGGACAATTCAGCGCAGTTCAGTTTCCTCACTCTATTTCCACGAGTGGAACATTCTGCAACTTAAGCTGAATCCTTTTGCCCTTTGCTACCTGCTGCAGTGACGCCCAGATGTTGGAAACTTCACTGGTTTTGCTTTCTTTAAATCATAATGGCTTCCAGAATCAGTGTGCAGCAGGCATAGGCGGATTGCCCATCATCTAGGCCTCTGAGTGTTTTCTGCTCCTGAGGGAGTTCATAGTTGGAGATAAGGGATCAATATTCACTCCCTTGAGAACCTGAAGTTCCAGGAGCTGAGATGTAATTGGGTGAACAATGTTCTGCAGTTATATTTACAACTAATATAAATTTAAAAGTAAATTCACTGACTAAATTTACAATTTTTAGAGAGACCATTTTCCCTTTACTTTTATTATGAACTATTAGCTTTCTTTTGTGTTGTGTTCCTTATTATTTAACAGTTATTTGCTACTACAAGTCAGGTGGAACATCTTTTCAAACACGAAGCTAAGGAATTATGCTTAGCTTTAATATAAAGCTGTGCTACTGAACCCATAAAAATCCAAGCTTTCTGAAGCACTGGTATGACTCAAATTTAAGGGCATTAGAGGTGCAGCCTTTTGGAGATACAGCATTACGTTAACCATCATTTATTTACTCAAACAAAATACTAAGTCATGATTGTTTCTTTATTTATTCAATAGAAATTTATTTTCCAAAGACATCCCTACATAAAGAGACTTTTTATTCTAGTTGCACTTTACATAAATTTCCACTAGAAATCTCTCGGATAAGAAACTTTGAATTGCATTTTCCTATAGTATTAAATATAGTTAATTGGCCTTCAGTGAACACACTACCCGATGTAGCGAGCAGCTTTTAGCTTACCTCGCAACTCTAGAAACTCTAGAGAGTTGTTGCCAAATATGCTCGCTGATTATCATTCAAATATATCTGCCATTTTTTCATGTATCCCTTGTCTTTTCAAAGTAAGCATAACAGAAGAATGATAAGAGTGGAACATCAGTTATATCGATAAAAAAACGAAGGCTTAGAAATTCTGTACTTAAAAGGTGTTGGCTAGGTGTTTTAATATGGTCCTTCCTCCACAGCATCTCCCAGAAACATCTACTTATCTGAATATATATATTTGTATATATACCTATATATATGGATAGTAATTCATATATATACCCATATATATATATATGTGGCTAGTAATTCATATCTATCTATCTATCTATCTATCTATCTATCTATCTATCTATCTATCTATCTATCTATGGCTAGTAACAATATCCACATATCTTCAGCCCCTGGGAAAGGAGGTAGAACAAATACTTCCACTATTTGTCTTGCAGAGGAACAATTTTGAGGGACATTCTGCACTGTCCATTAATGATATGGTAGAACAGTTCCAGTTTCACAATTTGTAACCAAGACATGATTCACTTATGACTGTGTTGTTTCTGATTCACTCTTTTTCCATTTATTTTCTGTTGCTTAGGACAAAATCCTTCAAAAAAGTTCTCTTGGGGTCTTTATGGCCACTCTCAGATTTTGATGTCGTACAACTATTTTGAGCTAAATGTTAAAATCCCTGTTCTCAATTGACCTTGACCAGCAGGTCATTTTTCAGTGGCAGGCTTTTTAGAGAAAGGACGAGTAGACCAAGAGAAAAGAGATGGAAAGGCTGGGGTTGGGAGGTCTTTCATAAGCTATGGCTTATGCTGAACAAGCTTATTAAGAAGTACAGCATCTTATAAATTGTTTGCAGGGGAACATGGGACAAAGCAAGAAGAAAGCTGTCATATCATGGGAAGAAGCCCACAGGAGGCTAACTAAGCAGTGTTTCATAAAGAGAACACAAGGTACCCATCACAGACTGACCGTACGGTGCCTGAAAGTCCAGTCACTTCAGAGAGAAAAGTGAAGTTTCCAGAAACCAAAACCTTAACTCCTTTGAGGCCTTGACCTCAGACCCAGACTGGGGCTTGCCAAGTCTACCCCTGGGCAAGGACACAGAACCAGGTTATTTTTGTCCTTTCATCAGGGTCTCTGAGAAAACCTTGGATTGGTCTGTCTCAAAACTTCACCAATGTAATGGCATTAAGAAGTAACATCACTGGGATGTAATCATGATTAGATTATATCATAAGTCACACAAATGAGATTCATGTCTATCTGTCACAGAAGATGTTGTATTCCTTCTCTTTTTTATGTTGTACTGGGACACAATACACCAAGAAGAAAATCTTCACTGGATTCAACTGTGTTTGTACCCTTGTTGGGGTTCATTCGGTGCTATGTGTTCTAATGCTAATTACTGGCCCCAAGATCTGGTTCTCCCCCAGATGAGCACATTTTCACAGCCACAGGTCTTTGTTGTGTAAGCCTTGCTCTGCCTAATTTAAAATTGATTAGTTAATAAAACTGCAAAAGCCTGTGACTGGGCAGAAGAGTAGTAGGTGGAGCTGAGGTTCCTGAGCTTGGGGTTTTGGAGGGAGCTCCTGGCCTTTGGAGGCCAGGAAGAGAGGAGAGACAAAGCAGAAGTAGCAGGAGGATGGAGGATGGAGTAGCAGGAGGAGGAAGTTGCCATGGGGGAGTAAGGACCATGAGCAGGTGGCCAAGAGAAGTTTGCCCTGAGGACAGACTGATAGAGCAGAAGCAAACTAGGCAGGAACTATTATGGAAAATAACTTGGGTGTTAAATAACTAGGTAAATAACTAGGAAATAACTAGTAAATTCCTAGTAAATAACTAGGAAATAGCAAAATAGCTAGGAGGCTTGCTCCCTGCCCAGTTACTGTGCCTTAAAGCATTTATAAATCCAAGAGGTCTCTGTCTCTATTATTTGGGTGATAGCCAGCGTAGAGAAGTCTTCAAGAGTCTAATAGACCTCTTCTACAACACACCGTTATGTCAGTTTCTGGCCTCAAGGTCTGTGAGATGTAAATTTCTTTTGTATGGGCCTGAGAGATTACTCATCATTTAATAGCACTGGTTCTCCTGGACAGAGGTTCATTTCTCTGCACTGGGATGGAAACTGTCTTAGTTGGTGGATCTCTCTGAGTAGGAGTGAGTTCCAACATTGCCAAGGCTGAAAAACAGAGAAACGCTGTTTCAAAAACAAAACAAAAACTCAAACCAACCCTCACCACCCCCCAAAAACCAAACCAAAACAAACAACAAAAACAAAAATAATTCAGTCTATTTAAAATACCCAATCTCTTTAAAAATCCAAATTTTCTTTTTAAATTTCAGCGGTGGGCTTCTATAAAAAATCAAAATTAACTAAATTCAGTAGGTTTTTCTTTTGTCTGTTCTAAAGCTGTTCACTTGTGTAAACATGATTTGCATATATTTATAAATGAATGATCAAGGACAATTTTTAGTGTCATCTCTTTCTAGATTATCTCACTTGGGATAGAAATAGAAAGTGTGTTGCTACAGTTCATAGAGAGAACTAGTGCAGATTGAAAAGAAAGCAGTTGCTAGTGAAAAAATAAGTGATAAAGTGCCATGAAGGTAGTAATGATGGGAATGTGAGATGAAAAGCAGAGTTTGTACTGCAAATCAGTCTTTAAAATAAACACATTTATCTTATATTCAGATTATTGTAATAATTTGAATAGAATTTACAAAACACCTCATCGTAGGCAATTTATAAAATTCCACTAAAGTAGGAGAAAATAATAAAATTCAACGTTAATATTTATTATATGCAGTGAAGTGTTTTTCTAGCCATTAAAGCAGTGGTTCTCAGCTTTCCTAATGCTGTGACTCTAATACAATTCCTCATGTTGTGGTGACCCCAAACCATAAAATTACCTTGTTGCTACTTCACAACTATAATTTTGCTACTGTTATAAATTGTAAAGTAAATATCTGACATGTGGTTCCCAAAGGGCTGTGACGTACAATGGGAACCGCTGCACTAAAGTATCCAAAAACATTTTAAATAGTATTCCATAAAGGTTTTTTAAAGATATGTGTTTGTTACTATCTGTAACAATCTTCAAAATGTTCTATGTACGAAACATAAATTTCAAACGAAGAGCTTCAAATATAAGTTTCAGGAGAAGTAACTGAATATTCCCTATAAGATCGGAGGCATTAATGGTTAGTCATCATGTAAGAAGTCACTGCCTCAAATTTTGTAATTATTAAATTGTAGTTGCACGGTTATACTGATTATTTGACATGGTGAATTTTTATTATCATGAATCAAATCTGAAGAACTTTTTCCCTGTGGCTTTTATAGCATCTTTTACTTCCTTGTTCCTCAAGCTGTAGATCAGAGGGTTCAACATGGGAATCACAATGCCATAAAACACAGAGGCCACTTTCATCTTCTCCTCAGAACGGTCAGAATGAGGTTGTAAGTACATGTAAGCCAGGGTTCCGTAGAAAATGGAGACTGCTGTCAGGTGGGAGGCACATGTGGAGAAGGTTTTCTTCCTCCCTGCAGCAGAGGACATCTTTAGGATGGCGGCCATGATGTACATGTAGGAGAAGATGACGACCAACACAGTGAACACCAGGTTGAATCCGACAAAGATAACAAGAAGCCTGACGTTGGTGTCAGTGTTGGAGCACGAAAGGCTAATAATTGGGGGGACGTCACAGAAAAAGTGATTGACGTGATTAGATTTACAGTATGACAATGAAAATGTAAAGCCTGTGTGTACTGAAGAATTTATTGATCCGATGAGATAGGAACCGGCTACCATCCAGATGCAGACTTTTCGCGACATGAGTATGGGATAATGAAGTGGGTTGCAGATGGCAGCGTAGCGATCCACTGCCATAGCTGCCAGCAGGTAGCAGTCGCAAGTAGCTCATGTTGCGTAGATCAGTAACTGCAGCACACACCCTCCAGATGATATGGATCTGTCTTCTACCGTGAAGTTCTGCAGCATCTTGGGGGTGATGGCAGATGTGTAACAGATGTCAACGAAAGCCAGATGTTGCAGGAAGAAGTACATGGGAGTCTGAAGTCTGGAGTCTGTGTTGATGAGGAGGATCATCCCAGAGTTACCCACCATGGATGTCATGTAGATGACAAGAAACACAATGAAGAGGACAGACTGAATGTTGTGCTGGACTCCAAAACCCAGAAGATAGAAGCCCTTGACTTCAGTCCCATTTTCTTGTGTCATTGTCACTGAAAATCCAGAGAAGACAAAGAGGAAGAAGGAAAAAAAATTCAGGATTTTATTTTTATTTTTTTCTTCACAATTTCTTCAGTATATATCCAGATTGAAGCCCCCTCCCTCAACTCTCCTAGTCCCATCATCCCTCCCTCTTCCCTCATTCCCTTCCTCCTCTTCCCTCATTCCCTTCCCCTAGTCCACTGAAAGGGGGAGTTCTCCACTATTGCCATCTGCCTTTGGCTTGTTAAGTTTCATCAGGACTGCTTGGATCCTCTTCCTCTGTGGCCTGGCAAGGCTGCATCATCAGGGGCAAGTGATCAAAGATCAGTCAACTGAGTTCATGATAGAGGCAGTCCCTACTCCCCTCACTCAGAGATCCACATGGAGACTGAGCTGCCAATAGGCCATATCTGAACAGGAGGTCTAGGTCCTTTTCACAAATGGTCCTTCATTGGTGCATCAGTCTCTGCAGGACCCCCTGGGCTCAGATCTTTTAGTTTTGTTGGTCTCTTTGTGGGGCTCTTGTCCTCTCCATGTCCCTCTAATCCCACCACCCCCTCTTCCTCCTATAAGCAGATATTAGACATATAATATAGGATAGTCATCGATAGACTTAAAGAAGCTTAACACTAAGGAGGACACTAGGGAGGATGCTTAAATCTCATTCAGAATGGCAAACAGGATAGACACTAGAAGTGGTGGAAGAGAGGAAACAGGGTGGGAGCCTACGAGGGAGGGTCCCTTGAAATATTCACCCAACAGGAGATCAAAGAAGATGCTGAGACCCAGGAATTTTTTTTATATCAACAGTTTGTTCTTTGATTCACTTTACTTGAGTTGGCTTTTCATGACAGCGCTCATAATACTTATCAGCTTCCAGTTTTTCTATGTCTACGATAGGAAGCCATTTTATAAATCAGTGTATTTGAGTCACGATTCACTTTAAAATGGAGAATACATCTTAGAAAAAGTCAAATTATCCCTATTTGCAGATGATGTGTTCTATACTCCAAAGGCCATACAGATTCTACCAGAATACCCTTAGATTTAGTAAACACTTTCCCTAAAGTTGCAGAATACAAAATCAACATACAAAAGTTAGTAGTTTTTATATATACAAATAATAAACTTACCAAGAGCAAACTTTGAAAAAGTAAAAATTCACAATAAATTAAAAATGTATCTAGGAAATGGAAATGAAATACCTCTACAATGAAAACTTGAAGACAGTGTGGGAAGAAACTGAAGAAGATGGTAGATATAGAGTAACCTTACATGCTCCTGGATTGGTAGAATTAATATGTGGAAGGTGCATATTACCAAACATTATATACAGATTCAATTCCCAGGAAAAATTGAATTATATCATTCACAGAACTAGGAAGACCAAAATTCATGTAAAAAGACAAAGGGCAACTGCAGCCAAAGCAATCCTAAGCGGAACGGACACACTTAGTGAGGTTATCACACCTGATCTCACTGTAGAGCTACGCTGACAAAAAGACCATTAGAACATACAACTGAGGAATAAATCAATGCAGCTATGATCATTTAATTTTTGACAAAGGTGTCAAAGCGTTCTGGGCCCATTCAGTGAATTGTGTGGGTAAAACTGGATGCCCACCTGTATAAAAATAAAATTAGATTCATATTTTCACCCTGCACAATATCGTATCAAAGTAGATCAAAGAACTTTTTCTGAAACCTCAAAGGCTAAAATAGAGAAAACCAAAATATTCTTCAGTACATAGTTATTCACAAAAACTCTCTGAACAGAATTCTGATAGACAGGGAGTAGCCAGAACTAACAAAGGAAGTCACATAAAATAAAAAAACTTCACAGCAAAGGAGACTATTAGCAGAGTGAACAGACAGGAAACGAAAGAAAGTGTTCTTTAGCTGTACCTCAGGCAAGGGTCAATGCGTAGAATATACCCCAAACTTCTAAGCAACAAAAATAACAGTTATTAAAAGAAATACAAGTGGTCAGTAAGTGCTTTAAAAGAATGTTGACTATCCCTAGCTTTCAGGAAAACACAAATTAAAACTACTATGAGATTAGATCTCATTCTAGAAAGAATGGATATCATCGAGAAAAGAGAGGCAGCAAACAATGCTGAGGGATGGGAAAAGAGAAAACTTATTCACTGGTTGTGTGCCTGTAGCCTAGTAAAGACATTTTGGAAATCAGTATGGAGATTTCAGAAAACCACAACCAATTAAGGGACACTTCTACAGAACATTCCTGCACTGAGGAGGCAGAAAGATCCTAAGAGCCCGAAGACCAGGGAGTTTGCTGTGAGATTGTGTCTGCTAGCTCGGCCAGAAGTGACACCCGTATAGTCTTACCATCCTAATTACCAAACACATGAGCTGAACAGGTTGACACCAATGTACATGTCAGTGTGGACGGGGAAAATCCCACCAGGTCTCAACCCTAAGCAAAGAACTATAAGCACCCGAAGGAAGCAGGGAGTGAGACCTGTGATCTTCTTCAGGGGAGAGCAAGCCAGTTAGTCGTCCAGTGCCAAATGGTCAGTCCTGAAAACATACAAGTAAGTAACAAAATATGGACTGCACAGGTTATATTCAGAAATACATCTATACGTGCGTTCAATGACAATTAGTGAAAAAAGAAGTCATGAATTTGAAGCATATAATGGAAGGTCTAGAGTGAGGAAAGTGAAGAAAGAAATGTTGTAATTATGTTGTCTCAAAAATAGAAATGACACAGAACTACAGTACTGTGTATCTACAGTAGTCCTGAACACACAGCTAGAAAACTACCATCACAGTTACACTTACACATCCGTGCTTACTGTCGTCATATCCATAAAAATAAGAAATGGAAACAGCCTAAGCGATCATTAAAAGATAAATGGATTATGAAATTATGGTACATATATTCAATGGATTTTTATTCATCAGTGGAAAAATTTTAGATAAATGGATAAAATTGAAAAAAAAAGATGAAATAGTATAAAAAAACTTACTTCCCAATATATCAGATGACTTTTGAAGATGCATTTGGCAGAATTCGACACCTGGTTATGGCTTCAAAAAGAAGTTCAAACTCCATGAAGAGAAGAAACTTTCTTAGTTTGATGAAGAACGTCTACGAATGTGAATGCTTGCCTTTTATTTATTTGTTTATCCTTAGATTAGTACAACATCATCACGCTACTCCTTATGCCTATGGAAATTCTAGTTAGTAGAATAAAGGCAGAAGAGGAATAAAAATCTCACACGTTAGAGAGGAAGAAATACACTCTTCTGTATTTGTAGGGGACATGAACAATAATACAGAAAATTTCAAGAAATCTGCAGAATACAAGATGACCATAAAGAAATCAACTCCCTGCATATTAACAATGGAAGATAGGAGCTGAAATTAGTCTCACTTACAGTCACTAAAGTGTAATAGTTAAAAAATAAATCTAACCATCTGTGTAGGATTAGGATGATAAAACTTAGAAAACAATGATGAAGTAAACCGAAGATCTTCATAAGTAAACAAACTGTATGTACTGGAAAGCTCAGCATAATGAAATGCTAATCTGTATGAAATTGATAGACAATACACACAATTCCTAATCTACAAGATTTTTTTCATTAGAAAAAGACTAGGCTATTCTATAATATGGAAGGGAAAAGTTGTTATATTATCTAACTATGACTTCCCAAAGAGTGAAGTGTAATCACCCAGTAGTTTTGTTGTCAGGATTTATGCTGACATTGTATGAATAAATGCTGTGTTATTGGTGGATGGGCAGACACCAGAAGAAGGACAGAGGGATCCCAGAAAACCATATACATAGGTCTAGCCTGCTGATTTTTATAAAATGCAAAAGTCATTCAATAGGATTCTGGAATGTTCGGTTATTTCAGGGGGGAAATGAACTCAGTAAAAATTTTACATCTTAAATCAAAATTAACTAACATAGATTGCTAGAGGCCAGCTCCAGTACACAGGGTACACTGAGGCAGGTTGCAGCATAGGGAAGACCAGCTGGTGGCTGGTGTTTCTCTCTCTTAAACTTCCAGGCTGGTAGCTTTGCTATTTGGGGCTCCTGGGTGCTGGTCACGAGAGCCTCTAAAGGAAAAGAGAAGCAGCAGGGAAGAACTGGACCCTGGACTCTCAGATTCAGGGTCAGGAGCCTTATCAACCTTATCAAGCCTATCCAAGTCTCTTGGTTTTCTTATCAAAAAAATGCTAAAACCTTTTATTGTTAGATAGCAGGTCTCCAACAGCTAGGCCAGGTGGTAGGCAATGAAGGGCTGTAAAAGAAAAAAAAAATAACCCCCAATTCCTTTTGACCTAATGGTTTAGCAGTGAAGAGCAGCTTCCTGGAAGCTCGGGACCTAATTAAAAAGGCCGATAAAACACTCTGGACTGCTTATCACTTACTAATCTTACTATACTTAGAATCATGCAAAAACATGCAGGCATGTGGCAGACAAAGCAAGCAGATTTTTATGAACCTCACATACACATGCACACATAAAAACAATAGACAAAACAAGAAAGAGCCCAAAGACACCATCCCTCCACATATATGTAAACATACACATAGCCACATACATACAGACAATATATACAGACAAACATATAAACAGACAGACAAACACATTCTTAAATGAAGCAGATGGCTTCAACAACTGTTTAATTCTGTCTCGGGTTTTTATATGATCTAATACAAAGGTTCTCTACTGATGAGGTATTGAAGCAGAGGCTGAGACTCATAGCCAAATTTTGGGCAGAGTGCAGGGAATCTTATGAAAGAAGGGGAGATAGAAAGACCTGGAGGGGACAGGAGCTCCAAAAAGAGATCAACAGAGCCAAAAAAAAAAAAAAATCCCTGAGCTCTGGGGGCCCTGCAGAGAATGATACCCCAACCAAGGACAATGCATGGAGAGGACCTAAAACCCAGGCTCAGATGTAGTTCATAGATTCAGTATCCAAATGGGGTCCCTAGTAAGGGGAAAAGGGACTGTTTCTGACATGA